CAATTTAATTAATTACTTTTGACATATTTCAAGTTCTGAATCTGTAAAAAAAAAAATTATTTTTGCTTCAATTAAGGTTCTTTACTTAAAGCTGTTTAAGACAGTCTGGCATGTGGGATGGCCCCCTATGGAGGCCCTGTTGGACAATGACAGCCCCCCCATTTCCAAAAAAGGGGCTGCAATTTAGCCAAAAAACAAAAACAAAAAAAAGCAATCGAGCAGATGATTGGTTGTAGATTCTCCATCAAAATCACAAGCAACCTTCAACAACCTAGATTAACCAAGTCTGACACAGAATGGAAGTCAGTGAATGGAAGCTGACATTTTCTATTCTCACGGCATTAAAAAACCCAAATGGTGCTGCCAGTATGGGAGCCTGGCTCATCAGACCATCTTTGTGACCCTCTAATGACCCCAGATCTCCTACCTCTGTACGTAGGATAGCGGGTCATTTCCTCTTTTTGTTCAATAGCCACCATTCGTGAGGATGAAAAATACTTTTTCTACTTTAATGTAAACATTTCTTTATATATTTTGCACCTGCTGCTGTCTAATTTCACTATTTAGATGAAGGCCCATCCTGCATCCTTCCTTGATTTAAAAATAGTCCTTTTACATTTGGACCTTTTATGATGTTTCAGCCTGTTTAACTTTATGCTGTCTGTGCCTGCCTGTAATTAACTTCTAACTAACCAAAATAAAGCTCTATAGTTCCCAGATTTAGTAACAGACGACTAGGAATTGACAGAAAATATTTGCAAAGAAATGTGTTACTCTATCACACATAAAACAGAGGGACCTGCTTTTAGGAGTACTTGTATTTAATTTAATCATGTGTTAAACAGTTGTCGCTTAACCAGGTGATTACAGTCAGTAGGAGATCATTTATGAATCTCATAGCTGTTGACATAGGAGCTATATTCACAGACATGATGTGGATGACAGAGCAATAGAGATTTTAGCAGTTGAATAAATTGTAACTGACAGCTGTAATTTGTTTTTTTCTACATGCATTTATCAAGCTATCACTGAGGTAATATAGAAGCCAATGAAGTCCTCTCTCTCAAAGTCTGCAGACACACATGCATACATATACACACAAAGATTCACATTGGCAACATACATCTTCATTAGTGTCCAGTCAAATCTCTGTTCCTCGTGCACTCTGTTGCTCCAGTTTCTTTGTTTTTCCCTCATGAATGTTAACACTCTGTCATATTCCGAGATAATGACTGAGATATGCTCCAAGGATTGTTTATTGAAAATTATAGTTAATCATGGACACGCTTGATTAATCTCAGAGAAAATATGAATAATTAAAGTACAAATAAGACTGCATTTCCATTTTATTGGTTGAAGCTAAATTTATAGCCACAATCTTTTCTAAATGATGTTGCAATGATGCCAAATAGCTCAGACACAAAGCAGGAGATTATGTTGTAGGATTAAATTCACAAGTGATTTACTACAATGACAAAAGCAACCAAAAACAGCGTTTAGTGGTGGTGAAGAATTATCTTTATAAGTTATTAGTATTTTCATTGTATGTATTACGAATATTTTAACTTAACTTATATTCTTAACTCTATAAGGGAGTGTGAAGAAGAAATGTTGAATAAGGAAACCCACGCATTGGGTCAACATAGCAAATTATTATGTCAGAAAACTGTTTGGTCCATCACAGCTGTGTCCACATGTGAAACTAAACTTCAAACCTGCTTATTTTCAGAAGTCTAGACTACATGTCTGTGTGGGCCTATCTGCGTGTTATTGTAAATTGATGTCATAGTGTGTAAATAATGTGTTTCTGTTGGATTATACTGATTGGCATTTTCTAGCTCTGTATGTGCACAGGAAGTAGAAATGGGATATATGATTTTCTGATTTAGATTGAATATTTTGATTGTACTTTCTTTTAAATTGTTTCATTTCTCAGGTTTTGCTTCCAAATTTCAGTATTTGTGTTTGCACAAGAGACATTAAGTTCATGTGTAACTAAATGTTTTATACTCAGTGCTGCTATAATTTAGGATTGAATTTAGGTGGAATCAGGAAAACCCTATTCCAGTCTTTCTGAACTTAAAGACAGAAACAAGCAAACTTTAAGTTAATTCAGATTAAAATGTCTATCTTTTCTAATTAGCATACTTTCCTTTTATTAAGCTTTTTTCAGTGGCTCTCTTAAAAATAAAAGAAACAGAATTTTGAATTCAGACAGATTGGAAAAATACCATGACATTGTCAGTCATTGATATCTGTGTGCCAGTCAACTAGCTGTTATAAATAAATTATTTTTAGTTGTAGTTTGCTCTTAGGGTGGAACAGGGAAAGATTCATTTGCATTTTGGATATTCAGCTCATGATGTTTTTAGCATCCCACTCGTCATTGTTTTGCCTTCAAGACAAATTAGTGGACCAGTGATTTGAAAACAAGCCCAGTGACCGCTGTAAATAAGTCAAAGTTTAATTAATTCTCTTCATTCAGCTTTTTCCTTCTACTCTCCATGTGTTTGTGAATACCTCAGATTTTGTGTATCATAACTGCTGTTTTTAGCAGAAATTCCTCCACATAATGATATGCCTCAGTTAAAAAAAGCAATCTTTTCTCTGTATCACAGCAACTGAGTCAACCACTGAGGCTTCACATTACTTATGGTTGGGGTCATTACTCAGTAAAGCAATGACTAATTGGCTTCATACAAAAACATTTCTGGTTACCTGTTGTGCCAGCCTTTAGCTCTTCAAAAAGAGAAAAAGAGCGAGAAGTGGATTTTTTGGCAATTGATGTCATTTACTGTGTTCATGGACGTCCCTGTATGGATGCCTGCATTAGTAAATTACACAGTAGTATATTGTAACTTCATGTTAAAATCTTGGATAAGTAAAATCACATCACAGCCTTTGAAACCATTGTGATGGATGATGAAGGCTCCCACTTCATAATCAAACGGAGGAACTTTACAGAATCTTGGTTATTACCATGGCTTACCCTCATTAAACTCTGTAATTAAGTGGCAGGTGTTGTACCTTTTGTGCAAATTATCTGGCAGACATCCAACGCATTGGGAAATATCACAAATAAGATTTTAAGAAGATGGAAAAGAACCTCAGCAGTAATTAAATTCTTGTCTAATGTTAGCTGGATGATAATAAGTCTGACTGTACCTGGGGTGTGGTGCTTATCCATGTCGCCCCACAGCCGGAGGGGTTCCTGGTTTGAATGCTGGCTGGATGTTCTCCTTGTGTATGCGTCAGTCCTTCAGCTTCCTCCCACCATCCAAAAACACGCTGGGTTAAATGATGTCCTCTAAATGGAGTGAGTGTGAGTGTGGGCATGGTTGTTAGTCTATGTGGCTCTGATATCCTATCCAGAGTTTACCCTATTTCCCTATGACAGCTGGGCTAGCTGAAGCTTTGTTTGAATCCGGTGACTAATTTGGGTGTTATATCTTCACCTATACCAATCATAGGTAAAAAAAAGAAAAGACTAAGTTAAACAGTCAGATTTAGTAATAAACGGACACTGCTATTTGCTCGGCTGGAACACTAAAATGCGAGCCAGAATTCCCATCACAGTGACAACTGGAGGAGGACAGCAGGAGGTTGACGGTCTTACAAGCGGACCTAAGAATTCGAGAAATAATTAGGGAGGTGGCACTGACAGGTGTCCGCTTAGACACTCCACTTGACAGTGGGGCCGCTCCAGGCACATCAGTTTGTGAAGCCCCCGACACAGACAGCCATCCGCTGCCAGGCACATCAGGGACTCCAGCCTCCAGCAGCCAGGCATGCACAGACACATCAGTTAGTGAGGGTGCACTTGGGATGTTCATGCTGGAGACCAAACAGCTGAAAATTAATAATAAATGTGTATTTTTTTTCCTTTAACCCATTGTGGTCTATAGACTTTGCTGAAATATCCACAGTCGAAACCAAAGCATTCCAATTATTGACCCTCGATATATGTTTTACTCACAAAATATTTAGTCTTATCATTAAAGTTACCAGAAAACACAATAGCTATGTAATAGGTATTTTGTGAAAAAGGAAAAAAGAGATTAACATTTGTGTGAACACTTCACAGATATTTAAAAAATTAAAATAGGAAAATTGAATTCTGCACTATTTTTTATATCAGAACCATAAACTTATACTCTAAAAAAGAGGAGACACATACTTATTATTTATAAGAGGTATGAGAAGTACCCTGCATAGAGAGTAACTCGTGGAAATAGAGGCATACATAATACGGTTACTTTTTGGGTTTACTTTGTGGAGATGTATAATCCAATGCAACAGGTTTGGAGTGTACTTTTCTTGATTAGATTCAGTTTGATCGATACTGCCAGTGGGGGCACAGCTTGTTGCATTATGGAACGTGAAAACATCCATACATCTAAAAGCCTTCATCTACCAACAAAACCATCTAAGCAACAACATGATATGATTTACAACACCATCTTATAACTTCTCCCCTCTTCAATGTACTATATTTGTCCATTGATAAGTGTACCTGACTGGAAAATTGTTAATTGTGACTTTATAGTTACCTATAGGCCTTAACTATATTTCCTTCTAATGGCCTTCAAGGTTCAATACTCAAGCTTAGATAAAACTTTTTAACCTGTCAAAATATCATTTCAGAAAAGCTGGTGCTCCTGTACGCTGAGGTTGACAATTTTATCAAAATGTATAGATGTATGTATTTACCTTTCAGATGAGTCAACTTCAAAGAAACGCTGTAATTGTTGTGACATGAATTCATGGGAACATTTCTAAGATTCTCTTTTATGTAGCAGGAAATCAGAGGCTTATCATGATTCTGAAGCAAATTACGTTTTTTCTTGTAACATGATGGAACTTTGGGTTTATCAGTGGCTGTGATGTAATGGTTCCATTCTGGAGTCCTGCGGTCATGTGGTCTGAGAGCTCTACCTTCACTATGCCAGCTTAACTCGCACAAGCCTCCCAGATAAGAGCTCATGTTGTCAAAATTCAAGATGAGTGAACAGGGCCAGCCTTCGCACAAGCTAAGCTTGGTGTTTCATGAACTCCGTCTTGAGGGAAAATTCTGTGATGCAGTCATCAAAGTAGAGGATGTCGAATTTCCCGTCCACAAGGTCATCCTCTGTAACTGTACTTCATACTTTAGGTAAGGAAATCTGATATATTTATCGCGCTGTACTGCACTGGAAAACAGTTTATCTTTTTCAATTTCTAACTGGTTTATTCTAGTGTTCATAAGAAAGTGAATACTATTGAATGTAATAACTCTCAAGGATGATCAGAGACCAACAGCCTCGGTCATGAAACGCCATGTAAATGAATTCTTAGAAGTAAGTTGTATCTTCTCTTTCTTGATGGTGAGACGATAACGTATTTTGACGCCACATGCATCAGGCAGTGTCACACGTTGACGACTATTGGAAATGGCTTTTGATTCAACATACCAGTCAGTCTCAAGACCCTCCTGCCTTACATTGGCTTAGGGCACCCCTTGTGCTGCACCAAAAACAGGAGCAGTTCTGTTGAGCCCTGGATGTCAGGCCTCCGGGGTATCCGCGTGGCGTGCAGCTCCAGCACACTGGCAGCATGTTCTCTACCCTCTTTTTAACTGCAGTGAACTCAGAAAAACTGACCTGAACTGAGAAAAGACCATGAAACATACATGCTTTTTCTTTTAAAAAAATGGAACTCTCTTTTACGCCCTGTTTTCAGAGCTCTTTTCACACGCTGGTCCGAACCAGAGCAGATGGTTTTCCAAATACCGGGCATGTCTGCTGACATCATGCAGCTCATCCTGGACTACGCGTACACCGGCTCGGTTACCGTCACGGAGGCCAACGTCCAGCAACTTCTGCTGGCTGCCGATCAGCTCAACGCGGTGGAAGTCATACAAATGTGCTGCGAGTTCCTGGAGAGGATGCTCTGCCCGAAGAACTGCATCGGCATCTGGCAGTTCACTAATGTCTGCTTCGACCTCAAGCTGCACTCCAAGGCCTACCTCTACATTATTGAGCACTTTGAGGAGGTTGTACCCTGTAAAGAGTTCCTGCAGTTATCCGTGGAGGAGCTGACTGATATTATAGATAAAGATGACCTCATTGTGAGGCAGGAGAGCACTGTGTATGAGGCTATCATGAGGTGGATCTCCCATGTTCCAGAGGAGCGAGAGAAACATATTGCGACTCTCATGTCTAAGGTACAGAAACTTCAGCTAATATGCTTCATTTCATAGTCAAATCTTTTTTATCTTTACAAATGGGCACTCAATGATGTGAAGCCACATTGCTCAAGCTGATCCATAATGAAATCTGCCAAGTTTGGCGATATTTTGATAGCAAAACTTTGTTTCATGGCTGACTTCACTGCACTACTTTTCACTTTATGGGTTTATCTATCCACTCCCGTGTTAGAAACAGATAAGTCAAGCAACTGGACCTCCTCTATCATAGACAACAACAAACTGAATCAGACACTGGAGAATAGGGGGACATTCTTATCATTTGTTACTCTTAAGAGTAGATGAAGCCCATCATATACAGGGTTTAATGTTACTTTATTATCATGAGGGTACTATTGATGCATTTATATATTAGATCAATCCAATATTTCATGTGGGAATATACAAATGTTTTATTTAGCAGAGAGGCTACTCCTTCAGTCATGCTAATCATTCAAGAGTTTGGATTTTATCATTACCTTTTTGCAAACAACACCTATAATTTTTTCCTATGGATTAAAGTCATAACTTAATTGTGCAGAGAATCTATGAAGTATGAAAATATCTGTTCATTTCCAATAATCAGTACAACGTTGTTCTTGTAGTTTAATGTGTCTGATTGGGAGCCAGAGGACTTTAGAGTGCTGATAGACAAAAGACTGGTTCTTTTTCTTAGTTGTTTTTTTAGTTTAAATTCAGGTCTGTACAATAGATAGGGTCAGGTAACATAGAGCTTAGAAAATGTGTAAAGGTGAAATGAGAAAATGTCAGTTAAATATCCCGATAATTTTACACATTCTTATATATACATATTTTGTGTCTAGGTCAGGATGGCCCTGTTGGGTGTAGAGTACATCAGGACCAACGTGCTATCCAATGAGCTGGTGAAGAACAGCACTGAATGTCTGCCTATGATCTCGAATGCCACGAGAACCATATCCCACATCCTCACGTACAGGCTCCCTTTTTCTGGGATCTGTAACCCCCTTCTCCGGCCCCGCCTGCCCAGCACCATTCTCTTGGCTATCGGGGGCTGGAGTGGCGGTGACCCCACCAATGGCATCGAGGCCTATGATATCCGGGCTGACCGCTGGACTAACGTGACGAACAATCTTGAGCGGCCTCGCGCCTATCACGGCGCTGCCTTCCTGAACGGGTACGTGTACTGCGTCGGTGGCTTCGACAGGGTGGAGCATTTCAACAGCGTGCGCAGGTTCGACCCGCTCACGCACACCTGGCACGAGGTGGCACCGATGTACTGCCGCCGGTGCTACGTGAGCGTCACCGTCCTGAACGGATGCATCTACGCAATGGGAGGTTACGATGGACACACACGCCTCAATTCCGCGGAGTACTATCGACCTGAACTCAACCAGTGGAGCTTTATTGCACCAATGCACGAGCAGAGGAGCGACGCCAGCTGCACGGCCCTCAAAAACAAGGTGGGTGACCTGGAAAGAAAGGCTGGGAGTCATCAGAGTTAGGTTTCCTTGCTTTCATAAAAGAAAACTGTACAAGATACCTTTCAAAGCAATAACAGAAACAGCATGGGGAAACAATCTGTTGACTTTTCGTAAAAAGAGCTGTTAAAAGATATGGAATAAACAACCACACTTAGATGTTCAGTCATGTGTGGATGCTTTTAAAAGAAAGGCCTACATTTTGAATCCATAAATTATAAATTACATTCAGCAGAGTAATTTCTTACAGGTGTCAAAATAAGAACTACATCCCTAATATGGTATTCTTAAAATATGAAATGAGCATAGACTTCTGAATATAAAGTGTAATAACCCAAAGCCCCTTTTTTTGTCTACAGGTTTACATTTGTGGTGGATTTGATGGACACGAGTGCCTTCAGACAGCAGAGTACTACAGCCCAGAAACCAACCAGTGGACTCTAATCTCCCCCATGAACAGCCGGCGCAGCGGAATAGGAGTCATTGCATATGCAGATCATGTGTATGCAGTAAGTGAAGAAAAAACACTGCTGACACAGAGGTTACATATATAATTACTATCTATAATGTGCGGAAGCTTTCAACATCAGGGTTTTTAAGCCAATCAGACTCACAGAGGAGCCTGGAACCATTGAGTTCATGATAACGGTCATATCTTTTTTCCAGGCACAGTTGCGAACTTAATCGATTGTTTATGTTTCAGATATATCTATTAACTATTTAGCTTCCCTAAAGATAGTGAGGATTAGGAAATCTAGTTTGATGTTTGATGATGAACTGGGACTTTCTCCACCCAAAGTCAAAACTGTTTTATCTGTAATGGCTGTGGAAAACTAAGGTGATCCCTTTGGCTTCATTAGGCGTCAAAATCTGGAAATCACCAACATTTGTGCAAAGATTTGTATCAATTTGTTCAAAATGTAAAAAAGTCTCATGCCACGCTACAGTTTTGTCAAGAAACATTGAAGAGGAATCATTTTGTTTCTTTCTATCACAACAATCATGAGAATTTGCTTAAAAGTGCAGGTTCTCAATTTTAAGATTATTATTCACCTCCTAATTGGAGAAAAGGTTTAGTATTCTAGCTCTTTAGTATGCAGAAAGCTATTTTTCAAATAAAGGCCAAGGCCTTCATTTACTTCCCTAACAGCTTAGGGTACCAGACCTGTGTTAGAAGGAGGCCTTCATGTTTAATTCTCAGTGTTAAATATGACTTGTTATTTCTTTCTAATGCATTATTTTAATGACTCAAAATAAAATATGGATCACTGCACTTAAACACTGACATATAATTCTACATAGCTTTGAACGTGAGACTTCATTCATTAAAAATAATTTTCTCCTCCTGAAAAAGTGCCTTGAGTACTTTGAAATAGTTTCCCTTTTGCAGAGGATTTTTCGAAAGAGGCCACACACTGGGCAAGGAAGTTAAATAAACAGAACAAGTTAAACTGGCAAATGTGGCAAGAACATTTTAAAAACACCACTAATTTTCCTATGAATAGCAAGAATAAAAAACATGGAGTTAGAGGGTTCTTTTTTACTCGCATACTATTTTTTTTTAGCATTTTAAATCTTTGGTCCTATTTATCTGTCTATCTTTATATAAATATTTGTTTTGTATATAGTACATATATGTACATATACTATAAATAGCACGTATGAATACATATTGCAGTCTTACTGCTTAACTTTTCCAGGTTGGCGGATTTGACGGCAACAACCGTTTGCGCACGGCTGAAGCCTACAACCCACAAACCAACACTTGGGAAAGCGTGGCCTCCATGATCACCCCCCGCAGTAACTTTGGCATCGAGGTGCTGGAAGACAGGCTCTTCGCTGTGGGGGGGTTCAATGGCTTCACCACCACCTACAATGTGGAGTTCTATGACTCTACGGTGGATGAGTGGTCGGAGGTGTGCGACATGGAGATCTTCCGCAGCGCCCTGAGCTGCTGCGTGCTGTCAGGACTCCCCAACATGACGGAGTACGCCGTGCGCCGGGACACCCTGCCACTGCTGCACTTTGAGGAAGACAAGGCAGAGTCAGGAGACTCCACCTGAACCCTCTGTGGAATATGCCACCATCCAAAACAGGCTTGGCTGGAATGAAATAAATTCCTTGTTGCATTAAACTACCTTGGAATGGGATTTTTAAAGGTTTTTTTTTTTTACTTGCAGTTTCAGTAAGAATTCGTATGTGACAAGAGTATGGTGCTCATTTTACAGACAAAAAGATTGACAGAAAGCTCACCACTGCAACTCCTTTGAATGATCAAAAAGTTGGTCTGTACCATATAAGAAGTCCAGCATGGTCCCAATGTGTGCCCCCTGTTTGTGCCCGCCTTATCTTGGGGCATGAATTCAACCTGGCTTCCTTTGTTAGGGCTCTGAGATTGGTATCAAACTGTATAACTGTTTGTATGAAGTATTTTCCACTAGAAATTTCTGATTCCTGTCTATTTGATTTTATTAATTGACTTAATTGACTTTGTTGTATCGAGCATCCTCTACTTTGACTCTTGGTCCTGATGACACAGAACGGCTGCCCCTGGTAACCTTACCACACGTTGCGAATGCACTTTCAGTGCCACTTAAATGACACCTCCAGAGATGTAGAGCTCTACAGCATTTTGTTCATCTAGGATTTCTCTCAAAAGATTTTAGATTCATTTAACTGACTTTACCCATCTCAAAAGAAGGACTCACAAGAAGGAGGTTTGGCCATTATGATACTCAGCAATATAAACAAGTAACTAGTTAAAACATGTGCTATTTTTCTGCTCTTTCAAGTAATATTGTAATAGAGCAGTTGATAATATCCAAATATTTGAAATTGTTTCGCTGTGGCTAATTTGAGGAGGTAAATCTACTACTCATACCTGATATTAATGGAAAAGTGAACGCATTGTGGAAACCTGTCATTTGTGCTTAGTGTCTGTATTAAGCTGTAGGATGTTACAATCTTCCACATAACTCCACACAGAACTGGTCATATTTTCTCCAGCAAAATCAGACTAGAGGAGGAGAAGAGATTCAGTCAGAGTTGTTGCTGCTACTTGACTTTCTGGCTGTTGTCAAGGACGCAATGTTCCACTGTCTTGTCAAACTAAATTTGGACAAAACTTGGAATATTCAAGGGGAGGAAAAGCCTGAATGACTTCAGTCTGTCCTTTTTTGTTTTACTGCATGTACTCTGCTTTCTCTCTCCATCTCGCTGCCTCTATCTTAATCTCTCTCCTCTGCTTCCCTTCCGTTCACTCCTTCTTCCTGTCCTGTGCGTTATCCAACAGACAAAGTGTTGGTTTCTTGTTTTTGGGCAGTCACCTTGAGGCAAGCAGTAGTGAGTTGCCTCATCATTATCTAACTGCCAAGGAATATATCATGCGAGTGGGAAGGACCAGGACAGGTCTGATTGTTTCCATTTATAAAAATGCGGCAAGGGAAAGGGTTCCTTTTCACTGGTTCATAGAATGACTGGACTCCAAAGTAGTGGGCACGATTAAAAGCGTCATATGTGATTTAGTAAAATCTGTGTTTAGGTTCCTCAAATTGCAAGATGAAGTGGGGAGCTGTGTAGATTATGTATTTTTTTATTTTATCCACTGATTTCTCTTGTGGTTGCTCTCATATCTAAAAGACTTGCTGTGCATTTAAATCTAACATTTTGCATTTCAGAATGTTTTATGGAGTCCAAACTAAAGCCATCTGCTCTTTACTAGGTTTTGGAATTAAATAAATATAACCCTAGATTAATAACATCTCTTGACATATACAGTTTAATATTCATTCAGGATAACTTGGGAAATTTAACACACATTCTAACTACTAACATAGGAATTTAGGACTAAGTAACCGGCAGGTGCAGCCTAAAAAATGCCCTCATTTACGACATGATCAGCATTTGTCAGTGTTGTATCAGATATTATCAAGTGTGACCACTTCTATAAAAGTAGAAAGTTTGGTAATTTGCCGATCAATACCAAAGAGGATGGACATCAGTCATTTTAAAGAAGTAATTGTTGCTGCCCATTAATCTGGAAAGAGTTGTGGGTGTTATGCTTCATGTGTTGGTGTTTCCTGTTCTATTCAGGTAAGAATGTGTCATTTGGTTCATTTCTGCTTCACAGCAGTCTTTTTTTCTTTTTTTAACCTTGTCCTGTTCAGCATTAAGGCAGCAGAACTGGAATCTGAGTACCGTGCCATGCTGAACAAATTTGCTTTATCAAGGGAGGCTTTGTTGGTGAGAAGCCCACCTTGATTACCCAAAACAGCTTTATTTATTCATTTTTGTTACCAAACTTACATGTGTCCAATAGTGCCGAACCTGACAGAGGGACAGGGAAGAAGGAAGATCAGTGGAAAGGAAAGAGATCCTTCAGACGGAAAGAGAAAGACCAGCTGCTATGTCTGTAAAAAATAAAACTGATCCTTGTAGGCAATCCGGATGGAGAATCTATAGGAGCTCCTGCAAAAGGACACAGGGAAGACAAAAGAAGACACAAGCAACAAAAGCAACAACACTGGTAGCAGGGACATTGGTGAGCTTCTCAGAATTGTGCAGCAACTGTACAGAAGCTTAAGGAGGTGTGTGTCTGGGTAACTGACTGTGTGTGTGTTCAGTTATGGTGCAGAGGGGCCAGCCGAGCACAGATCCCAGGGAGAGGACCGGGCACCAACCCAGAAGACAACCACGGAAGTCCCCCAGAAGAGCCCCCACCACCCTTCACTGGAGTCTTTGAACACCTGAGTTTCACCGGTAATTACCCCACGTATCATTAATCCTCTCATCACTCCATCAGTAAATAATATCCTGGTTTTCCTTTGTTGGGCTGCCAGATCTTGATGTTTTCATCCAAGGTTTTGTTAAAAGGAGAATGCACAAGCTTTGTTTTTTTTACAAAAAAACTCATTTTGGCTTTTTTATTTGTGATGTGTTACATATTTTTTATCTGTCACTTTATTTATCTTATTTGAGAATGAGATAAATAAATGAGCCAAAGTTTATAGATGCTTAAACATCTAAAAGTAACTTAAAACCAATTGCATTAAGTAGATCATCTTGAGAAACTCAAACATCATGCCAGCGCAGACACAAGCAGCTACCATTCTTTGCGTCATGAAAGTACCACATAAAACTGATTTGACTATAATTATGGGGTAAGCGGCATGGCTAATTACCTTGACACATAAAGAGGTACTGTAATGAGCCCTGTGGACTTAATAAGGAAAACAATGCATGAAAACATGCTACTCTGGAAAATGAACTACTTTATCAAAAACCCCTATAGTGGAAAGTGGAGAAAATGGCCGCTTAATCAGAGGTGATAACATGAAGGTGAATTACCCTCTGCAGATTAAACATGTGTGTAAACATCAGGCTTCAGAGAATGACTGCCTGTCTGAGTACAAATGTGTGAATCATATACCTGTATTCTTCAGGTCAGTACTTGTTATTGCCTCAACAACAAGCTTCATGAAATCCTGATGCTGGACATAAATAGGAAGTTGTAATGATATATACTGTATGCAGTTGGAACAGTGACTAATGACTTATGTGGACTTTCTTGCTGGAAGTGAACATTTGTATTCTGCAAGTCTTTTCATGACTTGACCTCTGTTGTCCAAATGTATGAAATTACTACTTTGGGCATGGATGTGACCCAAAAAGGTCTTATTATACAAATACAGACCAACAATCTGCATTATCTACCCACACCAAACACACATGGGGAGCCCTGACATGCACAAGGCACGGAGATTATAAAAAAGATTAGTTAAGATTACTTGTTGATGTTAGATGTTCTAAACACCCTTTGCAATAGAAATTTGATGGTACTGACAGCATGATATAGACACACATACAAATGTGTATGTATGTGTGTGCATTGAAGTTTATAGTTTGGATGTATATATTTATATATACATATGTGTATGTGTGTGTCTCTTTCCTGATTTGCAATGTCTCTTTGTCTGTCTCTTCCAGTTTTTGTCTGTGTTTCTCTTCCTTTGTCTGCGTGCTCGCTCTCTAGCCGGCGGCTAACACTAAGATGTAGCTTCTTGCTCATAAAACCAGTTAAAAACACTCAAACAGTTATTGTTGTGTGCGAACTATTGTCAGTGACAAATGACACAGAATTAGTGCTTCACTGACGGTTAAATCATGGCATCAACAGTGTAGGACCGGTGTGTGTGTCTGCCTTTGCCCCATGACGAAGTACATGTTTAGGATTGTATATACAGTAGTTCTATATTATGTGATCTCTTAACATTAAGCCAAACATACTGTTCTGTGTTACGTTTCCGTAAGTCCCATGTGTCTGTGTTCAGAATGCATGTACGAGGTATACAACATTGTGTGTGTGTGTGCTTGTGTGAGTGTGTGGTGCCCGGGGGCTTTGTTTGGTACTGGAGCAATAAAAGACACATTAAAGAAAGAGCGAGATTACAGAAAAAAAAAAAACATTATAACACACATAAATGATATTTTTTTTCTCGGAAAAAAAACGAAAAAAAAAACAAATCTGTGTGGGTGTGAGAAATAACAGAGCACGGTTTCTCATGATGCATCTGCTGAGCCGTCCAGCAAATGTGGTGCAGAGGAACCCCGACGTTTGTTTTAAAGCACACACAGAGACATACGTTTTGTGAGCGTGAGGATGAGTGTCCTCCAAGAGTCATGGCTACACAAGTACTGTAGGAAAAATATCATATCGGAGTATGGGGGATGAGGAGAGGCAGAATAGTGGGATAAGAGGAGGACAGTGGCGTAAAGATAAGAGGGGGAGGACGGAGAAGGAGACAGGGTTAGTGGGGTGTACTGAGCACAGAGCTGGAATCAATTTCCCTGTCATGCTTAACACCTGTCTTACCCTCAGTGGTCATGTGAGTGTGTGAGGCAGGAGCGTGTTTTAGAAGTGACAGACAGACAGTCATTTTACCCCCGGAAAATGATTACATTTATTCTGAAGCCCCCCTCTCACTCTTTTATACACATATAAACACACAAACACATAGATTATGGTGCACACACCCACTACACTCTCTCTTAACTTGTGTGTGAC